GTGTGCTTCAATGTCGACCGCGCGGTTGGAAGCCTGGGCGATGACATGCGCGCCAAAGGCATCGCTTACTACTCTTGGAAGCTGCGCTGGAACGCCTTCTGGACACACCAGCTAGTTGAATGTCGTCGAGCCATGGACATTTTTCAACGCGTCACCAGGGGAGTCCGGGACCTGGAACTACCGCTGCTTATTAAGCAGAACCTTCAGATGGGTGACTTCGCTCTTGAAAAGTCCCCTCCGGGTTCGTCTTCATACCAAGGCTGTGAATATCGTTTTTACTAGTTTGTCTACCTTTCCTTCAACCCTCCAACTGGGAAAGCTGACGAGTTCAGGTTTACGCGGTCGCTTTGGTTTCACCTGGTCAGCGGTGCGATTCATTGTCAAGAGATCGAGCTATCATCGTTCTCTCTCTCTCTCTCTCTGTCCGCGCGTACTAGTTCGTAATTAACTACTTGCAAATAGTCACCGTTCCGGTCTGGAGTAGGCCGGACATAATTTTAGTCAACTTGAAAAGATGCTTTGTTTCTCTGCAGTGTTGGTTACTTGGGACAACAGAGGGTGCTTTGTTTCTCTACTGTGCGACAACAGTCGAGCGTGCATACGGTTCTCGTCGCTGCCGAGTACCAGGACAGGTCATAAAAGATTTGCCCCCATTTTTATAACTGACTACATCTTTGAGAGAAAGACTGGTGTTTCAGTTATCTGCGGTGCGGCAACATGTCTGCAGCTGAGGGGCGAGGAGAGCCTCGTTAATAATTACGAAATCTCCTTCTTTCCGCCTAGACTTCTACTACCTACCACCCGCCCTGGCTGTTTCTTGCTATGGTGCACGGTGTGCCCTGCGCTTCGACTCCTGCACCCTAGACTCCCGCAACTGTCGTCTGCCGGCCTACAACGCCAACACACCCACCGGAGAAGAGAGGTTCGCTTCCGACGGCCAGAGTCTCCAGCCCTCACTTTCAGGTATCCTGGCCTTCGGTGCGATGCCGTCCGCGCCGCTGGCCAATCTCCTACAACTGGTCTGTGCCCCCGCCACCAGCGCGCAACGACGAACCGCCCTGGAGCGTCAACTTATAGCCGGCGAGTAGGAAGAGGTGTGCGGCCTCTCTCGCTCTTCACCTGCCTCCTGAAACTCCTCCGTTTGTGCAGCTCCCAGTTTATACTAACCTTTCTGTATATAGGTATACTTTTCTTCAGCATCCTTCGCGACCGAACACGACAGTTTTTTTCTTTTTCAAAGCGTGATAATTGTGATGCAATAAAGATTTGTGTTTTTGCCATGCCTGCCCCACAGCCTCAAAATATTTGAGCCGACAATGCATTTACTGGTACGGCGACATTGATCCATGTTACAGGGGAGGAGTCGCGATACGTTTCTTTTCACGGATTGGATGTTTGATAACCCTGCTGTAGGATTTTTAGACGACAATTTGATCAACAAGGTCTTTGCGGACAGGGATGCGGGATACAACGGTGGAGGGGCGCTCACCGATCGCGTTACGGAACTTACTCGTTCCGTTGTGCCCTGGGGCTCTATCTGGAGCGCGGCCAGCTGCGGCATAATGGCGCATAATATGGGCAGAATGACAATGGCAAAGACAAGGGAGACTGTAATGACGTTTTATGGCTTATTAGCCGTCTTCAGCCAGTCATACTAAACCCCGAGGTGTGGAACATCCGGGGCTCGATCCCGCGATCTTTTGGTTAGGAGTCAGACGCCCTGTAAGTGACACTCACCGACCGCCCGTCCCAGTCCCCCTTATCTTTGCCGTTATTGTCATTCTGCCTATATTACGCGCCACATTGCGGCTGCTGGCAGGGCTCAAGAGATCCCGAAGGCACAACGGGGTGGAGTGAGTTCCGGATCGCGATCGGTGGGCGTCCCCTACATACCCAGTCGCAACCGACAGGACTACGAGCCCAGGGTTGAGTGGTTAAGGCGTTGGACTTCCGACCAACAGGTTGCAGAATCGAACTCACACCTCGGCGGTGGATATGGCTGGCTGACGACAGCTAATAAGCCAGGAATGACCATTCCAGTTTACCTTGTCACTATTGGTAATGCTATTTGCATCAGGGCTGTTTTAACTTACTCTTTTACCGCCACGTCTATGGTCCCCAACTGCCTGAACGGGCTAAGCGCGCCTACGCGTGCGTCTGGACCCTCAGACCACCTCCTTCAGTCTTAAAAGTCTCGTAGTCATCTGGTTGTGCGTGTCACTATGCGGGTGGGGAAAGTAAGACTGGCTAACGACACACTCACCAGGAGCGATGGCTCAGGCCGTCTTCAACTATGGTTGGACCTTAGGCGATAAACGGCGGCATGTCGGTCAGATCAGTCACCTTCTCCCCGCCGGTGTCTGTCGAAGGTCTGCTCTACCACTTATCAACGTTTTTGGACAACTTAGAGTACTTTACCTTCTTTGATGACAAAATCCCCACCGGCGATGATCCAGCATGGAAGACAATCAGCTATTAGAGCAGTAATGAAATCGCCTCAGACCACTGTCAGCCCTCCCCCCCCCGCGGACACCACGCCTTTTGGTAATTGCAATTTTCTACAATAATGGACCGCTTCCCTATATCACAGTAGGCTGCATTAAACATCTTCGCCTTCTGCCATGTATCTAAAGAACTTCTCATGCAGCTGAGGAATGTTAGTGGGACGCACGTCCGAGTGAAAGCCAATGATTGTCAGATGACAGACGGTGAGGACGATGTTGGTGATAAAGAAGTGACGAAGCGACTGCTTGCAGAACAATGTATGTGCACCGACACTAACCAATAGACACGAAGGATACAAAAAGTGGACCAACAATCAAGCGAAAGACGAAGAGTTAGCGTCGTGCCGACTCGGGGGGGGGGGAGGGGAGGTCAAAATACTGAAAAGAGACATGGGGTCACGAGCCCCAAAGTCACGGCTAACCGGAGAGGAGAGATAGAGAGAAAAAGAAAGACACAAGGACCGGCAGAAGGACAGACACAGCTGCAAAGACAAGAAATCACAGGTTTCACGATGGAATGTGAGTTAGCAGCGGGCGAGTCGCTGAGCGGACTCTTAGACACTGGCCAGAATGCAGTCGACCAGCTCCTTGGCCAGTTGTAGCCCCAGCGACATCGCCTCTGTGTGTACTCGAAGGCCAGGACAGGGTAGCGCCGAGCTGGCTCTAGCAGGCAGGGCGATGACATCGGGTGCCTCCTCCTCCTGCGCAGGCAGACGCAGCTCGACGAGGCAGTCTTGCTGGCCAGAGGCAGAGCGCCCGGCGAAACGCAGGATGATGGTGCCGGCGGCCGTGAAGAGTTGGATACCGGCGTCTTTCCCCTCACTCTCCTCCTCTGACTCTGGGCTCTTCAGGGTGGCACCCAGGAAGGCCAGATTGGCGGCCTTGATGATGACCTGCACCGCTCGGGCTGCGTTCGCTGCCCCGGAGAATTTGGAGACGGCGGCAGACCCGCTGGCCAGTGACATTGTCGTGGTATGCATGCCCTTGAGGGTGGCTTAGGTAGGGAACAAAGCAGGGATACAGGTTACAACCAGAGATGGGGGATTCAGCAGTGGGAAGCATATATTGGCCAATCTGACTCCAGAACCAGAGCTGGAGGATGTGTAAAACGCCTCTAGTCCGCCTCGCAAAAAGATCCCGACCACCTAGAGACCAGGGCAACATCTGAGCGAACTAAAGTCGATGCTTCCTTAGGAGTCGTATTTGGCCCACGGAAGAAAGCACACTGGTGGCCGTCTTCGACATTGCAACAGCCAGTCACTCAGATGACATACAGTAGGTGGGCTAACTCATGAAGTGTCAACCGAAATTCCAAAATGCGTTTTCGCTTCGAAAAGATTAAATAAGTAGGGTTGTAAAAATAGCCAGCCTGCAACATAATTCTATAATATTTCAGTTACCTCAGGATGGCAGCTTTCTAATGAACTTCCTTTCGGCTGCATGCAAGAACTATACTCTGCAAAAATGACTACTTAAGTAGCATGCATTGTTTCATTGATTGCCGATGCCCTTAAAAAGTTAATTATCATGTAAAAATGCATAAAAAATATGCATTCTTTTGCTCATCCAGTAGCAAATTACGTCTTCTTTCAATTTTATAGTCGAAGGAAGGGTATAATTTGGTTTTAAAAAAGTTTCCAATCGTGGCTCAAATCCACTGCTAAATTTTATGAATTCCATATGGTCTCCTCTGAATGCCGTAAAGAAATTTACGGTTTTCCGTACGCGGAAAATATACGGGTTGTAGTTTGGAAACCCTGAATGCAAGTGTAACGGCAGGTCGAGTTCAACATTTTTCGGAATTGCGAAAGCTTTTTAAAACCGAATCAAACCCTGTGTTCGAGTATAAAATTGAAAGAAGACGTACTCTGCTATCGAATGAATAGAAGAATGAATATTTTTATGCATGTTTTCCATGAAATATAATTGACTTTTTAAGGGCATCGGCAATCAATGAAACAATGCATGTTACTTAAGTAGTCATTTTTGCAGAGTATAGTTCTTGCATGCAGCCGAAAGGAAGTTCATTCGAAAGCTGCCATCCTAAGGTAACTGAAATATTGTAGAATTATGTTGCAGGCTGGCTATTTTTACAACCATACTTAATTAATCTTTTCGAAACGAAAACGCATTTCGGAATTTCGGTTGACATTTCATGAGTTAGCCCATCTACTGTAACTCCACAAAACAATCAACGAACTAGGACGCTGTTCGCCTGTCTTCGACTCATTGGTCGATAACCGGTGTAGCGGCCGTGAAACGCGGGCCCACATACGCTGTTACAAACAAACACTGTAGGTAGCTGCTTACTTGAAAATGTGCCAACCGGAACTTTGAAATATATCTGCGATCGGGAACAGTTACTTGAGTTGGGTTGCATCCTAGTTTCAAGGTATCTCAATCACACCGGGAGGCCGGCTTTTAAATGGGCTTCTTTCCGGTCGCATGCCAAAACCACGCTCGGGAAGAAATGACTGCTTAAGTAGCGTGAATTTTTCCCATTGGTTTTGAATGTCCTTATACGTTAAAACATATTTCATGGAAAACGTGCACAAAATATACCTTCTCGCTGTTTTTTTAAAGTGAATTATGCCTTCTTCAGATTTCATGTTCGAAGACGGCGTAGAATTTAGCTTCAGAAAAATCCTTCCACTTCTCGAATAATTTTGAAATCGATCTACCCTTGCATTTGCTTTTAGAGTTTCCAAACTGCAAGGTGTATACTTTCCCGGCGAAGATAAGCGCCCTTTTCTTTATGCTGCTGAAAGCTCATAGAATCTTGGGCGTTAATCAGGCTGTACACTCTAAAATAACAAACAGATAGAGTCCATGCTATTTGAACAGACATTTTTCGGTCGCAAAATATCACGCAATTACAAACCGCTCATAAATCAAAAGCTACCTGTAGAAAATTTAACGATGTAAATCAGCACGAAATGGGCACAAGGTGGGATATTCAGCGTGCATGTATTCTATAAAATATATTCGAATTTAAAAGGACTGTCATTTTTTGTGGTTTTTGCCGATGGCCGGAAAAAACGTACTCAAAGTCGGCACTATGGTCAAGATTATAGTCACAGCCCAGTTAAATTTCAGAATTCCAAATAGCATTCTATGAGATACACCGTCCAACGCATATCGCCTCACCGTCTAATGCTTATAATTCCATGGTCCGCATCGAGGACTCCAACATCCCGTAGCAATGGCTTCTTGCCCGAAAAAATGATATGCCTTGTGATGCAGGCTAGGACGCTAACGCAACCCACTGCCTTCGAGGCATACCGGAAAAAACATCTGTCAACGGATTTTAATAGTCGACAGCGGGTCCAAATAGTATTAATGGGGCGCGATAACCATGTGTAACTGCGCGAAATCAGGTCGGCTGTGTACTTCGTCCGTAACATGTGACGAAATCCAATCATGAGACCCCCCCCCAAAAAAAAACGAAAATTGGAAATTTTGTGTTAGGATGGTGGAAACGGATTTTTAGAAAGTTCTCTCTCGGTTTCCTCAGCAATCAACACGAAGTAATAATATGTTATTCCTGTCTTCAGATTTTGACAAAAAGGACGATCTGCCCCAAA